CCAACTCATGTCATCCACCTCACCCAACTTGGCCACACTTGCCAACCTGTTTTGGCTTCTCCCAACCACTTGGCATCAGTCTATAGTAGAGTGACGAGTTTCCCAACCCCCAAAAGTCTGTACCCCATATTGAGTCAACCCGCAAATTCCCATAGTCGTTGCATAACAATAAAGAAACTTCGAACGATCATATCTTTCTTGTTCTTGATTCGATCGCGATGATTCTCGGTTCGTCAGAAAGCTCTTGAGCAGAGGAGTCACTTCAGATATCTGCTCAAGGAAAATAAAACTCACACACACACTCAGAAAATCCAAACCACATCAAACACAAATTCTTGCACACACTCATACCACGCATGCAACGCACGAACATATGATGGGAGGCAGACAGACGTGAATGCAAATGATAGCATCACATAACAAACTCCCCCTCTGGCTGCCTACCATCATCCCACATGCCACAGTTCAAGCATGCACCCTCAATGCACACTCATTCAAGCAAGTTTCATGCCCTTCCAGTGCTCAGGTTCAGCCAGGCGCTTGGTGAGAATGTCAGCCGCCTGCTGATGGGTCTTCACAATCTCCAGCCGCACCTCCTTGTCCAGGAGCCTCCTTGTCCAATGCCACTTTGGCCTGATGTGCTTTGTCAGGCCAGGAAGACAAGCAAGCTTCGCAAGCTTCACAACCGACTCATTGTCACAAAAAATCACAGTCGGCTCCTTCTGGCACACTCCGATCTCCTCCAACAAACGCCTCAGCCACACCACCTCCTTAGCCCCATGATGCAGAGCCATGTACTCGGTCTCACACGAGGAAAGCCCCACCTCATTCTGCTTCTTGCTGCGCCAGTTTACTACACCACCTCCAAACAGGCACACGTAGCCTCCAATGCTGGTGCCATCCGCCTTCACAGAGTTGAAGCTGGCATCGGTGTAGCAAGTCAAGAGCATCTCCCCCTTGCCCAAATCAGCAGCACCCCGTTGCTGCCTTTGCCTCACAGCACTGTACTCCAAACCCATAGATGTTGTAGCACTCACATAGCAGACCAATCTCTTGGCCGCTTCTAGATGCTCATGACTAGGGCGTGAGACCACACTAGCAAGCCTGGATGTAGCAAAGGCAATGTCAGGCCGCGTGTGGTTAGCCGCATAGTTGAGTGCCCCAACCATGGAATGAAACGGCTTCCTGTCACTTTCACCCACCACCTCCTCATCAGCACAGGGCTCCACAGTGAAACCCGAAGGTAGTGGGGTGGCTGGCTTTCCTCCATCTTGCAGCCCATACTTCTCAGCCAGCCCCTCACAGTACTTCCTCTGGTGCAACCTCAACACTCCCTTGTCAAGGTCTCTCTCCACATGCATCCCAAGGTAATACTTGACATCTCCCATCTTCGAGCACTTGAACTGCATCTCCTCCACACGCTCGATCATTGCAGACGACTCAGAGAAGAGAAGGATGTCATCCACATACACCATGAGCATGAGGAACTGCTCCTTCTCTTGCAGCAGCAGAAACAAGCTGTGATCACACGTGCAGGGGCGTGGCGCAGAGGTGCGCTTCGGAGACGGTGCCTTTTTGGAGGAGTAAGGCTTTCCACGGGTTCGACTGTGGTCCTAATCCGTGAAGAGCGATTGTGACGAACATGTCCTCAGGGATCATGTTTCCTAACTTCTACAGCTGGTTGCGGATATTGTGGCATCAATTGATGTCGGCATTTGCCTTTTCGCTGGGTGTCATTTTGACTTTGAGAAGCTGCTGGAGAAGGCAACTCAAAGATACGGAGTCCTTAGACTTATAGGTTTAGCTCCAGGCAGTCATTGCGGGGGCCGGATCATTTTTTAACGGACGTATGCCGAGTTGTTCGGCTGGTGACATGTTGCGTAGCAAGATACTATACGCCATGAGCGACTCGTTGTAATATTGGGCCTTTGCTTCGTTGGTGTCACTTGCGTTGGGTAGCTTCCGACGAAGAAGCAGAAGATCTGAGCGCTTTGGAGGAGCAGATCGGAACTCTACGTGTAGAAATCACGTCCGTTGAATACGGTGCTTGTTCGAATCTTTGAGATAGCCAAGAACATGTTCTGGGCTGTGAGCATAGCTTCGTCGCTTGGACATGAAGTGGTTGGAGTGGCAGAGTTTGACCCGAGGTCGAATGTGGTTGGAGCTGGTTCCTTGTTGGGAGCAGCAGGTTGGTCGGGTTGCTGCGAAGTTCCGCGGTTGCCGTTCTTCATTTGCTGAATTCCGGACTTCAGTGTGGTAATACGCTGCATGAGTTGCTTGAGTAGCGCATTACTGACAGTGGTGTTTGCCGCAAGGTTCGTAGTTGGGTTGGCAAGAGCTTCGGCTGTAGGAGCCGCCCGCCCACCAGATCCTCCAGCCATGTTTCGGCGGGAGCGCGTACCGGACGCCACCTCGGATTTGAATTTGAATCAAACGTGGTGATGCGAAGAATCCTGAGTGGCTTTCATACCATGTTACAATCTGAAATGACGGTTTAGGATCATCTCAGGTTGATTGCACGTAGTGTAGCAGTGGAAGATTGTTGGCGAATGTCGGGTACGGACCCTGTCAGAAGAAGGATATTTGAATCTCGACAGAAGTAACTCAAACAGTGCGGTACAAGGGTTTATATAGGAATACAGGGGAATATAAAAGGTCCTTGTTAGCCATGTACTCTGAGGGGGTACATTCCCCTTAGGGCTAACCTACATCAGAAATGCCAACAGTGCGGTTCGGTAACAATACGCGCCACGGTAACTGTTTGAATGCTTCTCTTGCACTTGCACTTCAAAATCATTCTGCTTTCAACCGTCTTCGATAACTGTTTGTGTCGCTTGGTCTTCGTCCTCGCTGCAGTCATCTTTGCGTTAAGGATTTGTTGCTTTAGGAATGTTATACAACAATTCCATATCGTAACATTTCTTATCGGGGTTGATTGCTCCGCGTACAACCCCAACACTTTCGAAGTTTGCGCGTTAGGCCGAGATCCACGATGCCGAAGCTGCATCGCGTCGGCCTCGGCTTTTCGCTCGCCAAACCTGCACCCAACCTCATTTCCCGAGGTTTCCTCCTAGTTAGGGCAGTCTCTGTATTAGCACGTGCCTTCACTGTATTGTCACTTCATTGAGTCACATCCTCGTTATTCGTTATTCCTCGCAACTCTATTTTACAACTCAGAACACCAAATGTGTGAGAACGGATTGAAATGGTTACGTTACTCGTTGGGCCCCGTGTAGGATATCATTCGCATTGTCCCCTGAATGGATGCCAGGTTCGTCTGATGGCGAACCTAGGCGATAACTAAAAACAAAGTCTGGCAAGGTTACAAAGCTATATCGCGCAGCTTCTCCAGTCTTCGCACATGCGCAGGTGGGATGCAATAACCGTTTTCGCAAGCATCCGCGGAACACCAAGGGACTTCCAGCCCCAGCCACGAATATTAGGATTTAGAAGACACGGGCTTGCTGTTTCCCCCTCGTCAATTTTCTTCTTGCGTTAGTGGTTAGGCGCCAACCAAGTAGTACCGACAAGCTCGTACCTGTTGCGATTCGCCGTACTGGCTTGTAGTTTGTCAGGTAGACATGTTCTCTGGTTTCAAACGCTGATGCTGGACGCGACGCGGCTGCTGCGTGTCGTTAGATGCGAGGAATTTCGTTTAACCGTCAATGCAGCTCCGTGTTCGGATGCCTGGCGCGTAACTCTTGTTGGAAGTGTGGGGGACGGGATTGCCCCCCACGCGAAAGACCTCCCTTGACTCGGACCAAGGGAGGGTTCGTTCTTGGAAGGTTGGGGTGACAGCGGATTGTCTGCGTCGCCACGCAACCGAACTTCTCCCGGTTGGGTCCGAATATTTGTGGGGGCGACACTTGGCAGCCCCACAAGCATGCACAAAAATAGCAAGAGTGCAAGCGAATGTTACGAACATTTCGCTACACTCGCTATTGTTCCTTGTAACACACGATTGTCGGCGTGAAGAAACGAACCCGGCAAAGTCTGAAATTGTGAACGCGGACGTCGCGGAAATTGGACGCGATCCTGAGTCCGAATTTCCAGAGAGTCGTGCGCGGTTCGATGTTACAATTGTGCTTGCATGTTTTAGCTATAAAACCAGAGAGCAAATTCGAGAGAGTAAACCTCAACTCGTCACTTTTACCCATCCTTGCATTATAAGCAATATCTCTTTCAATTCTTAGGCGATTACAGAGATTCAAAGTGCCACGGATTCCTTGCTCCGAGCCTGTCGAAACGATTCTAGTCTTGGCTCCTAACTCACCAAATGCATTCTGTGGCGTCACTAGGAGCAGTCCGGTTTCTTTAAATTCTGGTACGGGGACGAGGAATCCTTATAGAGACATGAGGATTCAGGAACGGGGGGGGCGATGGAACGTTGATTTGTGAGGTAGTTAGCGCTGTCGTTATTTAACCACCAGCGAACGCGAATCTTGTTTCATGGATACATCCGATCGAGCCACTCGAGAGATCCGTGTGTCTCGGTGTTACCCTTCGAATCTGTGCTTTTCTACGACGCCTGGCTTGTCGCGCAAGTCGCATGAACCGCACTGCACCGACTAGACATGCGGGCAATGATGGGAGTCTTCGTCTTTGTCTCGATGACTCAGCGACGAAAGCGGCCTTCGGAACGATGACGGTTACGATGCACCTTTCCATCGCCTGATTCCTCGCCTCGCGTCCGCCGACGCCTCGCCTCCTCAAATCATCTGGTCGCTTCCAGCAGCCTTGCCTCCACTTCACCCAGTCAACGAGACGTTAATCCTCAACCACCTCCTCACCAAAGCGCCTCTCACCTCCGCCTATAAAGCCAGCGCCATGAGCAGCCATGGATTCAGCAGCTTTAATCCACTTCTCCCTTCAATCGCTTTCTCAAGCACCCACTTGCAGCAGCCTGGGCAGCAGCCTTCCAACTCTCTCCAGCTCCTGTGCAAGCGAGTCTTCCAGCCGAATTCTGAGTCAACTCAGAAGCAGCTACTGTGTGAGCCCTCATGGCGACGGCTGGGATGCACGTGCTGATGCTGGCAGCGCTGGCAGTGGGGCTGCTGGCGGCGGCGGTGAGTGGAGCGCGCGACGCGATGAAGGTAGCCAAGGGCCTGGTCCCCACGGACGTTGGGGGCAATGGGGTGGCTGGCGGGGCGGCGGCGGGGCAGCAGAGGAAGGGCGCGCGCATTCTGGCAGCTGAGACCTTTGCTCACCATGCTCCTCTGCCCGACTACCTCGACCACATCCCCCGCCGCCAGGCCCTTGCCACCTGTACGCGCTGCTACTCCCTCCTCTGCTTCCTTCAATGCTCTCCATGTCTCATTTCTCATGTCTTTTTTTCTCTCATGGCTCCTTGCTTCTTTTGTACAATGCAACTTGGGGATGCATGTCAGTTATGATCCAATCACAATCTGCTCCATCATTTCTCCTCTCAACATTTATTTCCCTGCTCCCCTCAAAACTCGTTTCCCTGCTCCTCTCAACCCTCGTTTCCCTGTTCTCTTTCCACTTCACCGTGCCCCCCCCCCTCTCTCCCCCCCCCCCCAACACCCCCTTTGGCTTCTACTCCTTGCAGCGTGTGGGCGCATAACGGTGACGATCCGCTCGCAGTACCTGGGGCGGTACGACCTGCACAGCCTAACCTGTCTCCTGCTTCCTTCCTCCCCTTTCTCCCTTACCTCCTTCCCCTGTCCCTCTTCCCAACATGTGGGCGCACGACGGTGACGATCCAGTCGCGGTACCTGGGGCCGTACGACCTGCGCAACGACATCAACAACATGACCTTCTACAATGGTTGCGCCTACAACGTCACCAGCCCGCTGCGCGTGTGGCAGTGCTTCAACTTCTACAACATTTGGGAGGGCGTCCTCGCCAACCCCGCGCCCAACCCCACGCAGTACCAGACAGGCGACATCTTTGTGCAGACGCTACCGGGGTACTGTGAGATTCGCATGAACCGCGGTGCGAGCGGCAAGTTGCAGATACTTCCCGGGGAGACGGTGAACATTGTGTATGCGCATACGTGGGACGGTGAACATTGTGTATGCGCATACGTGGGACGGTGAACATTGTGTATGCGCATACGTGGGACGGTGAACATTGTGTATGCGCATACGTGGGACGGTGAACATTGTGTATGCGCGTACGTGGGACGGTGTACGTGGGACGGTGAACATTGTGTATGCGCGTACGTGGGACGGTGAACATTGTGTATGCGCGTACGTGGGACGGTGAACATTGTGTATGGGCATACGTGGGACGGTGAACATTGTGTATGGGCATGCGTGGGACGGTGAACATTGTGTATGCGCATACGTGGGACGGTGAACATTGTGTATGGGCATACGTGGGACGGTGAACATTGTGTATGGGCATGCGTGGGACGGTGAACATTGTGTATGGGCATGCGTGGGACGGTGAACATTGTGTATGCACATACGTGGGACGGTGAACATTGTGTATGCGCATACGTGGGACGGTGAACATTGTGTATGCACATACGTGGGACTTCCGCCCCTGCGTGCACGAGCTGCGCTTCGGCAACGGCAACAGCTACTCCATGACCAACACCACCGAGTGCCGGCTCGCCAAGGTCATTTAGACCATGCCCCTCGTTCTGTACCTGAATAATGCTTGTGATAATTGTTTTATGTGGTGTAGTTGGTGAAGGGAGGATGTGGTGGGGAAAGTTCAAGGCAATAATAATGCATGTACTGGTCACATATGGTAACATGTATCATCAATGTTTTCTCCAACTCTATCCTCATCTGTATCACACCGGACCCAAATGCCGCCGACATGGGCTGGGCAGCGGTGATGCACGAGGTCTATGCCTGATGCGAACCCAACCCGCAGACGGACACTGACTGCAGCCAGATTTCAAGGGTATTTTACCCTTTTTGCCCTGCTCATAGGCCACTTTTTGGCAGTTACCCTTTTCAAATCAGGGTATGCAGATTTTTACCCTAGTGCAATCAGAATACGCTTAAAAGTACTCTTGTAGCTTTTCCAGTTACACTGACTGTATCAGGGTAGGGGTTCAACTACCCTTTTACCGGAACTTTTCCGTACCGCGGATTCCGCCACAGTCCGCGCCACGACGAAATGCTCCACGGTCCCACTGGACCATTTGTTGGATACACCCACTGGCGCGCCAACGTACATTCAGGGCGGATGGCACCGCACACCTACGATTGGTCCGTTGAGCGACATTGAAGCCAACGCACCCAGTTTCCGTGCGTCACGCAACATCGCGCACTGCCAACGGAGGCAAATTGCGCGCCAGGTGGGGTACGTGCTGTCGTTTCCACCACCTGGCAGTCACTGTGGCCTTGCAGCCATTGCCGTGCAGTTCCCTACCAGCGAGGGAACCTTGCTGCCTGAGGCGCCTTGGGCTTTGTGATTCCCGAGGGGTCTCTCAGGCTCTTGCCATTCTCTCGTTTCCCTCTCGTTTGTTGTTCCGAATGCCTGCCTCTGAGCCTGATCCGCCTGGTAGCACCAGGAACGGTCTCTCCGTTCTCGGTGTGTTACCTCGGCTGGCTGAGAACTATAGCGTCCCTATCTCTCAGCCTGCGCGTGAGCCATCCCCTGAATTTCTTGTCGGCACCGTTTTCCCGTGCGAGCGTTCGGCCTCGCCAAAGTCCCGGGAGCCACACCCGTCTCTCGAGCTTGTTCCCGATGGCGGCGAAGGCCCGTCGAAGCCGGCCACTGCAGCCCCGTCCACAATTAGCTCCGCGCCCGCGAAGCGACAGCGTGTGGGCGTGACATACAAGCAGCAGAGGCTCTGGGGCGCCCCTCATCCACGACAAGAGGCATCACCGCCACGCCGTGCTGCTCCTGCTCAGCCGAAGCCTCCAACCGCTTCTGCAGAGGCTGAGTATGAGTTGGTAAAAACGACTTTCGATTCGCAATGGTCAAAGAAATTCAGTTGGCTGCGCTTAATGCGCATGACTAATGGCAGGCCGTCATTGAAATGTGCCATCTGCATCAAGCACGGGGATCCAAACGCGCACACTGCCTACGGCGTCAGAGGTGAGGGTGCCCGAGACATGCAGCTAGGGAGCATCCGCGCGCACACATCAAGCAGAGCCCACAAGCAGGCCTTGGAAAACGAGGCCAAAGCAGACGCGGAAAAGGCGAAGCAAGCCACACTAACAAGGTGGCAGAGCAATGATGCAGCTACACGGCACATCATCCGCTGCCTCCACCTCGCGCTCTTCATCTGCAAGGCTGACGCGCCAATAGCAATGTTTGTTCCTTTGTGCTGGTTTCTGGCTAAGGAAGGACTGCCGGACCTTCCACCGTCTGGAGGGTACGGTGCCTACTACACCGAGTAAGTGCGGGTTCGTGGCGCTTGTGTTTGTTCCGTGACTCAAGCTGACCAGATGCTACTGCAACTTGTGTTCGTGTACCATGTGTGTTGTCCTCGCAGCTACGGATTCAAAGAGATGCTGCGCGCAACCTCCACTTACCTTCAAGAGACTCAACGCGGCCACCTTCTGGAATCCCCATATATAGGGATTCTTCTGGATGAGAGCACCGACCGGGTGAATGGCAAGCACCTGATACTGTATGCGACATTCTTCAAAGGGGTAACTCCGATAACGGAGTTTTTAACTCTCATTACCGTGGACCGTGCCGATGCGGCCTCGCTAACCTCCGCTGTTGTGCAGTACCTTACAGGAATCGGGGTGGATCTCCAGGGGATTTCTGGAATATCTACGGACGGGGCGAGTGTGATGACCGGCAAGAACAACGGTCTAGTCGCGAGGCTGCGACTGCGCATACCACACCTGGCTTCAACTCACTGCGTCGCTCACAGGTACGCATGTTGGATTCTGAGTTTTTTCCAGCACAGGATCAGTGACGCGCAAACCGTACTAACATGCTCCAGTTGAATGCGCAGGGAGGCATTAGCAGCTAAGGATGCGGCGGAGGTAGTCCCCGAGCTCGGCATGGTGGACGACGTTGTGCGTGCCTTCTCCGAGCACATCGGCCGCAGCAGCGTGGACTACATCAAGTTTCAGAATCTCCAGCGCGTCTACTGCCAGACGAATCTGGAGGCGCAGGGCATAAACGACGTGCGCTGGCTCTCCCGTGGCGAGGCGATCCAGCGGTTCCTTGACGTTCTGCCTGCCGCCATTGTCGTGCTGAAGGACTACAAGAAGGACTTGTACGAGGTAGTCACCTCGTTCAAGTTCCACTGGCTCATCCGCTTCCTCGCGGATGTGCTCTGGGAGCTCAACCAGCTCAATCTGCGATTTCAGCAACGTCAGGTAACCAACTGACAAGCACAGTTGTACTTACACGCACGCCTACAATGCTCTTTCTGACCGCATGTCTTATGTGTGTGCAGGTGGACGTCACCCTCGTGGCGCACCTTGTACAACAGACGCGGATGCGCCTGAAGACGCGCTACTTCGACAGGTCCCCTGGTCACTTTTTTGGCAGCGGAGAGAAGATGCAGCTGCCTGACTTCATCAAGGCTCACCAGAAGATGGATAAGCGACAGATGAAAGCGGAAGGCGTGGACGCGGACGGCAACGCCGTCTCCTTCGAATTCACCCTGCACGAACGCCCCCTGCCAGGCCATGAGACAGACGGTGATGTAACCGCGTGCTTCGAGCTTTCGCTCAAGTTCATCCGCAAAGTGGACGCGGAGCTGGAGTGGCGCATGCGCGACCTCAACCTCCTCGAAGGCGCCAAGCTGTTTCGTACGGCGTCGTATGTGGCCGACGACACCCAGCGGCTGGAGTCCTTCAGGAAGTGGCTTGGCCAGCTCCACAAGCTGTACAACCACAAGCTGCCTGGTAAGCGTGTTTGTTAGATGGGGCGGGTATTAGTGATTGACTTGCGTAAACAGCTTTGCACCAGCTTGTTTCCCATCGCGCTTGTTGCTACTCATCACCCGGCCCTGTATTGTGGACTAATGCCTCCCAATCCTACCCGTATGTATGAGCGTCTGCCAATGATCATCCCCTTCCGCACTACCAGGGTTCGACTACAAGCGTGCCGGCCAGGAGCTCTGGATGTTTACCTCGACCATGTTCTCCCAGCACAACGGCGAGGAGTTTCATCAGGCGCTGGGGAACATGCTGCGCGACGAGGCGTGGCGTGCGTCGTTCCCCAACATCGTCCGGATGTGGCAGTCTGTCGCCGTGCTACCACTGAGCACGGTTGAATGTGAGCGCGGCTTCAGCAAGCAGAACCTGATCAAGACGTGGGACCGCGGCAGCCTCGGCGACACAAGCCTTGAGCACCTGATGCGGTGCTCCCTCCTGCAGTACGACATTGACTGGTATGAGGTGGTCGCCATATTCCGCGGGGAGAAGCTCAGGCGATCCACCAAAGACCTCTCCGGCATGAAGGCCAGCAGCACTAAGCAGTTTGCAGACGAGGCAGTTGCTAGTGCAGCAGATGTTGATTGACTAGTGTCTTCTGTAGGGCCCTTTATTTAACTTGGTTGGTAGTAAAGCTTGTAGGTGCAGTGCAGAACACTTTAGTGATAACTAAGTAATTGTTGTAGTAGTACAATCTTATGCTTAGGAAGGAAACAGTGTACGACATATATTATCCTGCCAAAATCAGTGTACCAAAACTTTTAGGCTGCTACAATCAGTGTACGAGAAACTTTACCCTACCAGTCAGGGTACGGAGGGGATGCCACCCTGATTTGAAAGAGTGAGCTAAAACCTATTTTGGGCCCTGACTGACTGGTCTGGTCAGTCAGACATTTTGACTTCAGAATGCTGACCCATCAGAGTGCCTGTTTTCTGGCCAAAGTGCCTTGAGGGGTGAGAAACAGACTGCCTAACACCGTGATTGAAACGTCAGCCCTGACCAGAATGCGAACTGAACAAACCACACACGTGTGTGCAGCCATGATGATCACATATAGGAGGAATTGGAGAGGCGTGAAAACAGTCGGCGAGGGTATCTGCATGCAATGCAAGCATTCGCTGCTGCTGCCAATTGTGCGAGCCACGCCTCACAAAGGCTACTGCGGCCATCGCAGCCGACCTGGCCTCACAAGCAGCCGACCTGGCCTCACAAGCAGCCGACCTGGACTCACAAGCAGCCGACCTGGCCTCACAAGCAGCCGAACTGGCCTCACAAGCAGCCGACCTGGCCTCACAAGCAGCCGACCTGGCTTCACAAGCAGCTGACCTGGCCTCACAAGCACCACTCCTACCTCTCTCGTCACTCCTCACTCCCTCTACCTCTTCAGTCCCCTCGCCCATCCACTCCGTGCGGCCAACCTTGCTCCACTCCGCTCTCCCTGCCTACCCTTCTTCCTTGCTTACCCTTGGCTTCCTCTGTCTCACAAACCCCCAACAGCTGCATGCTTGCGACTTGATTCACCGCCCACATTCCCACCTGCACCTCATACCATCCGACCACCCGCCTGAGCCTGCTACCACCCGACCTGCCTCCACAGCACGAATCTCCACCCCCCACACCCCCACACACCTCTAACCCTCTGCATCCGCCCTGTGCTCATGTGCTCGCCTCAAGCCAACCCACCCCTCCCCGGCTCCACTGTCGCCCCCCCCCCTTCACACTAGTCCCCAGCGCCATTGGCAGCAGCAGCAGTTGTTGTGGCATCAGCAGCAGCAGCGGTGGTGGCATCAGCAGCAGCAGTGGTGGTGGCATCAGCAGCAGCAGTGGTGGTGGCATCAGCAGGAGGAGAATGAGTGTGGACGGTATCAGCATCAGCGCTGGCAGTGTCAGTAGCATCATCAACAGCAGCCGCCACAGCAGAATCGCCAGCAACAGCCGCAGCAGCAGCATCAGCAGCAGCAGCATCAATATTAACAGCAGCAGAAGCACTGACAGCATCACCTTGGAAGGCTGCAGCAGATTCAGAGTCTGCATCACACCTGCCAGTGCCACCTGCCACCCCACATGTGCCCTGCTCGCCCTCCTCTCTGCCCACTCCCTCTCTGCCCTCCTCCTCACTCCCACCCTTTCCATCCAATCCCCCATTCGCCCTCTCCCTTCCCCCACCCTTTGCAGTCTCCTCACCTCCTCCGCCACTCACAGGCGCAGCAGCAGGAGAATCCCCAGCAGAAAAATCCCCAGCAGGAGAATCCCCAGCAGGTGAATCTCCAACATCAGGAGACCCGTAGTAGGCAGCACGGTGGGTGGCAGGGGGAGGCGTGTGGGCAAGAGGAGGTGCTTCAGGCATGGGGACTTGGCGACCAACAGCTGATTCACCACCAGCTGTGACAGATGCACTGCCCTCACTAGATTCACCTGCACCTGCCAATCCATCTTCTCCTCCTCTTACTCTTGTGTTACCTCCTGCGTCCTCCTCTCCACTTCCTCTGGCTCCTCGCTCTTCCCTTGCTCCTGCTCCTGCTACTACTCCCACTTTTGACTCGTTACCTCCTCGTTCCCCTCCACTCCCTGCTCCTCCTACTCCCCCTCTTTGCTTTCCTCTTTCCCTCCCCCTCACCTTCCCTTGTGCAGCCGCCCTCTGCTTACCACCCATCTTCCCTTTCCCCATTGGCTCTTTCCCCCCTGTCCCTCGCCGCACCCTTCTCGCAGCTGATCCTTCTCCCCGTGCCCCTTCTCTCACCCCTTCTCTCGCTGCTCCTCTTGCTGCATGCACTGTCTCTGCTTGCCGTGCCTCTGCTTGCCGTGCCTCTGCTTGCCGTGCCTCTGCTTGCCGTGCCTCTACTTGTACCTGTCCAACCCCCCCTCCCTCCTCTGCTCCGCGCCCATCCCCTTCTGCATCACCCTCTGCGTGCCCCCCTACCCTTGCTAGAAGCCCGCTTCCATCCTCCATTCCTGGTGACACCAATTCTGTGGGCGAAGCAACCTTTTCTTCATCCGGCTGTTGTTGTTGCTGTGGCCCGCTTGGTGTGTGAGGCGCCTCAGAAGGCGTGTGCGGTTGAGATGGGTTTAAAGGAGGGAGAGAGGAGGCGGATGAGGGAGAAGGAGAGGGGAAAGATGAGGGGGACGAGGAGGGAATAGTGGTGGTCGTGATGGGTGGGGAGGGGGAGGAAGGGGGAAAGGGTGAGGGCATGGGAGAAGGTGCGGAAGGAGGGAGAGGAGGCAGGGTAGGCGATGGGGGCGAGAGGAAAGGTTGGAGTGTGTGGTGGAGGGAGGAGAGAGAGGACGATGCGAGGGTGAGAGAGGAAGAGGAGAGAGAGGCGAGGGTGGGGAGGGTGGAGGACGCGAGAGCGGTAAGGAGGGAAGAGAAGAGGGAGAGTATGGGGGAGAGGACGGAGTGTGTGGTGGAGAGGAGGAGGGAGGTGGAGGAGAGGAGGATGGAGTTCAGGAGGGGCACGCGAGAGACGACGATAAAGGAGCAGACGAGGAAGAAGAAGAGAGACCCGAGGATGATGATCAGCCTGGTGGGGGCAGCAGACGAACGGGGATGAGTTTGTGAATTGACTGAGGTGGAACACAGTAGAGGTAAGTCACCTCACCACAGGAGGGCGAGTGGAGACGAGAGAAGGCAAGAGGGAGACGGGAGAGGCAAGTGAGAGACGGGAGACGCAAGAGGGACCCACCCAAACCCCTCCACCCACCCAACCAACCCATCCAACCCAAACTCGCCCACCCAAACCGATCCACCTCAACCTACCCACCAACCCACCCACCAACCCACCCGCCTCTCACCCCTATACCACTATACTCCTGCGTGCACTCCCCCTCCTCCACCCCTCTCCCATTCAGCTGTCCGTCACGTTGCCTCGCCTCAGCAGCGGCAGCAACTGGTAAGCCGTGGAAGGGCAAGAGAGCAGGGAGTACTGCAACCCACCCACCGCTTCCCCCTATACCCCCCCTGTACACGTCTCTCAACCCTCTGTAACCCACCCCCTCACCTGTCCGCCACGTCCCCTCACTGCAGCAGCGCCAGCAGCTGGTGAGACATGGAGAGGCGGGAGCATTGTAAGGATTAGTGCAAAACACCACACAAACCCACTCGCTGCTCTCCCCTATACTACTGTACGCCTCTTCCCCCTATTCCTCCCCACCTCACCTGTCCGCCACGTCCCCTCGCTGCAGCAGCGCCAGCAGCTGGTGGGCCATGGAGAGACGGGAGTGCTGCAGGGAGTACTGCGATCCTGCTGATGTCAGCACTGCTGCTGACGTGTCTGCATGGGACAGTGGGTGGGGTCAGAAGAAGGGAGGAAGGTGGGGTGTTGGTTGGATGGCAGGAGTATTGGAGGGGATGCTGTGAGGTGGTGAGAAGGTCACAGCGGCTGAGGAGTCAGGCGTGTGTCTTGGTTGAAAACAAGGCTGGGAGAGGAAGAAAGAAAGTGTGTAAAGGGTTACTCTAGAAGAGATGCCACACGAGAGACAGGAGCAGATATGAAAGCTAGGGCCGGCAGATGAGACGCGGCAGAAACGCATTCAAACAAGCAGTGACATCAGAAGAATGGAGGGAGAGGGATGACATCCGAAGAATGGAGGGAGAGGGATGACATCCGAAGAATGGAGGGAGAGGGATGACATCCGAAGAATGGAGGGAGAGGGATGACATCCGAAGAATGGAAGGAGAGGGATGACATCAGAAGAATGGAGGGAGAGGGATGACATCAGAAGAATGGAGGGAGAGGGATGACATCAGAAGAATGGAGGGAGAGGGATGACATCAGAAGAATGGAGGGAGAGGGATGACATCCGAAGAATGGAGGGAGAGGGATGACATCAGAAGAATGGAGGGAGAGGGATGACATCCGAAGAATGGAGGGAGAGGGATGACATCAGAAGAATGGAGGGAGAGGGATGACATCCGAAGAATGGAAGGAGAGGGATGACATCAGAAGAATGGAGGGAGAGGGATGACATGAGAAGAATGGAGGGAGAGGGATGACATGAGAAGAATGGAGGGAGAGGGATGCAGGAGGCAGTGTGTGGATGGGTGACCAGTGCCCATCCAAAGGATCTGATACCAGAGCCAACTCACCGAGTTCCTCCAATGTGTGCACGCCACGTTGCACCTCCTGCCATGCCATGCCATCATCATGGTCAAGAGAGGGGAAACTCTGGACAGCATTGGATAAAGAGGTGGTGCGATGAGGAGAGTGCAGTGAAGAAGAGAATGCGGTGTGGAGAAAAATGGACCAGATGAAGACAACTCTACCTTGCCATTCCAACCGATCCATGCCACATCATCATCATCCCAGCTGTTCCATGCCACGTCATCGTCTCACTGCTCCTGCTAAGTCATTACCTCACCCATTACCATCCACGCCTATCATTCCATCCCACCTGTTCCTGCCACATCAGCATCCTACCTGTTCCTGCCATGTCATCAACCCACCTGTTCCTGCCACCACGTCAGCATCCTACCTGTTCCTGCCACGTCATCATCTTACCTGTTCCATGACGTGTCGTGTTCGTCGGAGCGTGGAAGTGACCTCCTCAGCTGCTGCTGCCATCTGTGCTGCTGATCTGATTCAATATGTGATACAAGCACATGTGATACAAGCACATGTGATACAAGCACATGTGATACAAGCACATGTGATACAAGCACATGTGATACAAGCACATGTGATACAAGCACATGTGATACAAGCACATGTGATACAAGCACAAGCGATACAAGCACATGTGATACAAGCACAAGCGATACAAGCACATGTGATACAAGCACAAGCGATACAAGCACATGCAATACAAGCACATACAAGAAAAGCACACATGGCACAAGGACGCAGATAAAAGCACGAACGCCAGAGCAGACAAGAATGCATCTTTCTGTGATTTTGCAGATCGATGTGGAGGCAGAGACACAGTGGCACACATGTGAGGCGTGCTGGTGATCAGAGCAAATGGGAGGCAATGAGAGGATACGTGAAGGCATGACAGGCGGGGTACGAGAGATAATGGGAGAGTATGAGAAGGTATGAGATGGTATGAGAGGGTATGACCGTATGAGAGGGGGTATGAGAGGGTATCAGATGGTATGAGAGGGTATAAAAGGGATGAGAGGGTATGAGAGGGATGAGAGGGTATCAGATGGTATGAGAGGGTATATATATTTGAGCATGAAAGAGTATGCGAGGGTATGAGAGGGAATCGGAAGCATGAGAGGGTACGCACTCTAGCTTTCTTCGCCGCAACGATGCCTCTCGTCCTGCCCCTAGCAGCTCCTCTCTCTGTTGCCACATGCGCACATGTATGATGACACATGCGCACCAAAACGTCACGGCCAACCACACATGCACTCATGCCCACTTCACATGTCAACAAACGCCTCCCCCACACAGCCAGCCTCCTCATCCACCCCCAGATCCCAAAATATAATTCATATGCGTGCACACACACAGGCAACCATTCCATGAAAGCAGAATGAAAAGCGTGGGAAGAAGAAGGGTTGATGTTCCATGAGGGGTCATTTTCTGCTAAAGGGAAACGCATCGCAGCCAGAGGGTTCGTTCTGTGTCGCCATCTTTGCCATACCTGCCCCAAACACTAATTTGATCGCCACATGAGTTATGACGAGCTGTCATGGCAGCTGTCCTTCACTTGCGGCTCCCACTCTCACTCACTCGCATCCCACCCACCCCTGACTCCCCGCCTCCTCCAATGAGATGAGCCATTTAGGACCAACGGGATGAAGCGGCGTTATCTCAAAACGAGTACAGACTCAGGAACCCCAACCCGCACCCTCCCTCGTGCTACCAACCCCCACCCTCCCTCGTGCTACCACCCCCCACCCTCCCTCGTGCTACCAACCCCCACCCTCCCTCGTGCTACCAATCCCCACCCTCCCTCGTGCAACCCTTAACCCATGCCCCTTCCCCCCTCCCCCACCGCACCCCACTCATGATATCAGCCCTACCTCCTTGTGTGCTTGCCGCGTGAGATTGTGCTGAGCTGTCATGGTGGCATGGCGCAACCGCTGCCGGAGTCTGGTTGGAGATTTGACGGAAATAAAAGGGTTCGGTTAGGAAGGGTGCAACAGAGAGGGGATAATGACAAGGCAGAGAGAGCGTGTGGAGAACTAGTGTGAGAAATGGCAGAGAGAGCGTGATTCTGTGTGGTGGTGGTGCGAGGAAGAGAGCGAGGAGGAGAGAGGAATAGAGAGAGGGGGAGCGAGAAACACGGACAGCTTGAAAGGAAGCACCAATGAGCAGTGCGATGGGCCAAGGAAACGCAAACACAGAAAAGGAAAACAGTGCCACGGGAGGATGGAAGCGGGTGGCGCACGGAAGGAGGAGGGAGCGAGGGGTTGAAGGAAGGGAGGGAAGGAGGGCAAGAGAGAGGGAGGGCGGGAGGAAGGGAGGGAGGGAGTGAAGAAGGTGGAGCAGGGATGGATGAAGGAGAGAGGGGGGAAGGGAGGGAGGCGGAGCACTGGTGGTTACACTGGATGCGCCTGGTGCAGCTGCTGCAGGGCCGACTGCACCTGCTGCCACACAGGGACTCTGAGGGAAAGAGGAAGGCGGGGGTGGGGGTTGTGGCGGAGGGAGGGGAGAGGCGGGTGGGGGTGGGGAGGGTTTGGGGAGGGAATGGAACGGCAAAGAAAAGGCAGGAAGGAAGTTGAGGGAGGACCCGGAGAAGTAAGATTCTCTTAAGGCTACCCAGCGTCTGCGCGTGCGCCTTGAGCAGCTGCCACAGACCCCCACTTCAGTTGCTGCCACACGGGCTCAGGGAAGAGAGAGCGGCAATGAAAGCGAGGAGGGAAGGAGGAGTGAAAGAAACATTCGTTCGCCCTGGCTGAGCGAGCACGGCCCACTTCAGTTGCTCCAGGAGCGACTCAGCGACTTACCGGATGCTGCAGGCAGGGACTACAGGGGTACAAGTGGGGGTCGGAATCTGGAAGGAGGGTGTGGTGAGGCGGAGGGGGTGTGGGGGAGGGGAATGGAACACAAGAGAGGAGACAGGAAGGGACGGAGGAGGAGGAGCAGAAGGAGGAGGAAGCTGGGAGAGGGCGTGAGGAAGCTCTGTAGGCATTGGCAGCCAGGCGAACAACGAATTCTCAGCCTTTTGAGCGGTCAGCTGACATCAGCGTAGTGAGGAAGAAGGGGAGCAGCAACACATGAATTTCTGTTTCATTGATAGTGAGAATTAGAAATGAGCAGAGAGGTAGGGATAGTGGTGGTGGAATTGGGGGGAGAGAAGGGGAGGGGGACGGGGAGGGGGAGGGGGAGGGGGAGTGGTAGGAGGAGGGGGTTGGGGGAGGGGGAGAAGCGGAGATGGAAAGGGGAGTGGGTGGGGCAGGTGCCTTTGGAGCGCCGGTAACGGCAGGCCCTACCCGTTCACTCTTTGAAGGCAGCCTTGCCCACCCGTGCCCCCCTCCCGCTCCCCCTCTTCCCCCCCTTCTACCGAGGTCTAGAGCGCAACATCTGCACCCGTCCTCCCCTCCTTCCTGTCACCTCTTCCCCATCTCCTCCCCCATCAATCAATACTCTCTCTTCGCTCACCGATCGCGCTCGTCCCCCGCCTACCTCTGCGCAAAGCTTTCGCTTCCGCCTCCGCCGCCCTCCTCGCGGGCCCCAACCGCGCACTCGTTGCCCTCCGCCATCTCTTCCGCCAGCGACCGCAACTCCCGCTCCACGCCCCCAAGCGCCGCCAGCGCGTTCTGCGCGCCCGCCGTCAGCGCGGGGAGCTGCGCGCGCGTGGGCCCCCCGCGGGTGCCGCAGGCGGCGATGGATGTGATATGTTCGTCCGCGCGCGCTAGCAGCGCCTTCATTGCGCCGATCTGGCGCAAGGCTTCCGCCTCCGCCGTGTTCGGTTCGCCGTGGGCCAGCGCCGCGGAGGCGGTAGCGACAGCCATCGACGGGGATCGCGCGGGCAGACGAGATAAGGAGCGAGTGTAGCGCTAAACTGGGATTCGAACAGGAGGCTATCCGCGGTTGATTGAAACCAGCGCGGAAAAGGTGGGCTGATCGAAAAATGTTGGTCACGCAGATTGCGGGAAGAAATCGTGAAGTTTAGTTCCCGCAATCTTTTTGTAAATGTCTGTAATCTTGTGATAAATATATGAGCCGAGTACTCACAAATCTGTTAACTAAGGTACACAAGGGCGTGATACATTTGTTGATAGTTTAGGGTTGGCTCGATTCTTGTTTCAATGTCGAGGCGAACCCCAACTCTCGACACCAATTGGCTAAATAGGCTTCCAACAGTTTCGCAAATATTGGTCCAGGCCTGTGATCATCGCGCTCGTCCTCAAACCCAACATTGGCTTCCCAACTTCGCCACAAGGAATTCAAAACTTTCAACCGGGGATCAATTCTCAAGCATCATCTTTGGACCAAATATACTACGCCCTATAGTGTGGAAGTCTATACGCGTGATCCTACGTGGCGCATTACAAGTACAGTTCAGTGAATTAAGGTTTGCCAGTTGTATAGCAACCCTATACATTTTTGTTTCATTTTTTGGTATACCAACGTTTACGGATGTTTGAGCACAATGGAAGAAAAGTCACCACATCTTCCCGACAACCCGAGCAACAAGAAACGATACTGCAAGGCAAACAAGTTTGCAGAGCACTCGATTAGTCTCTTATCGCCCATCTCCTGCCACCGACATGAAACCAGTACCATACTTATAGCCAGCTTTCCTGGACAACACTCTGGCTCCTCACCACTAGCTGAATCAGGCTCACCGGAAATGTTTCAGGGTGAAGGCAACCAGCGGATTCAAGGCTTATCCGTCAGCAGCACGTAAGTGACAGGAAGGGGTGTGCCTGGGGCGTCATTGAGTATTAGATGCTGCAGGCTGGCGAGCTGGGAGAGAAGCAACTCTGTGCTGTGCTGCAAGGCGATGCAGCGAATCAGCTCCAGCCTGCGCAGCCGAGACAAGCAGCTTATGCCTTGAGGCAGCGACACCAGCTGAGGTGCTTCAACCATAAGTGATGTGAGGGAACGGAGGTGCACTATGCTTCCTGGAAGCTTCTCTGGTGACCATGAAAGAAGCTCCAGCTGCCGTAGCTGCGGCAGCGCTGCACCCATGTTCTCCGGGAAGCTGCAGACTCTAGGCGCATCTATTAACAAGCTGCGCAGGCGAGGGAGAAAAGTCAAGGGGATCGGGAGCTCTTGAATGTAACTGTCCAACCGCATCTCCAGCCTCTCCAGTTTATGCAGCTGCACGCCCTGCCCCCCTTGCTCCCCCTGCCCCCTCTTCCCCCCCTGCTTTCCCTGTCCCCCCTGCTCCACATGCTCTCCCCGCCCCTCCTGCCCCCCCTGCTCCCCCTGGCCCCCCTGGCCCCCCTGCCCCACCTGGCCCACCTGCCCCACCCACTCTTCCTGCCCCACCTGCCCCACCTGCCCCACCTGCTCATCCTGCTCCTCCTGGCACGCCAAGTTGCTGTTCACTGCGGACCGCACCCCAACGCAGTTCAGCTTCAGCACCCTCAGCTGCGACAACCTAGAGACGTCCACCACATGGGACGAACCTTCCACGAAGGGCCCCAAGCACAGGGTCTCAAGGGAGGGTGGCAGACCAGCAGGGGGTCTACCCAGCTCCTCACACTCCGTGAGCACCAGCCTCTTCAGCCCCACGAGCATATCCAGCCGAGGGGGCACTTCTGAGAGTGCCTGGCACCCCCTCACCTCCAAGCTCTGCAGTCCTGTGAGCCGTGTCAGTGAGGTAGGAAGCGTGCTGATGGGAAGATCAATGATTTTCAGCTCCTGCAGCCTGCTCAGCTCGCCGAGGGCTGGCAGCTCGCCTCCAAAGCATGCGCTCAGCTCAAGGCTCGTGAGGGAGGAGAGGTCGGTGAAGGAACGTGGAAGGGGCTCGTGCTGGCAGTTGTGCAACCGGAGAGACTCTAGCCTTGCAAGGGCCCCAACGTCCTCTGGCAACGCAAGGCCCTCGCATCTTGAGAAGCAGAGCGCCTTGAGAGCTATCAAGTGGCAGAACCCTGCCGGCAGATTCAAAAGCGGGTGGCAATCAACTAAAAAGAGTGCCTCGAGAGATGTGAGATGACAGAAGGAAGGAGGAAATTCGGTGAATGACAAACTTTCCAGCACCAGTAATTTGAGGGTAGGCAGGTGGCCGAAGTTGGTGGGTAGGGTGAAGTCATTACATGTGGAGATAAAGAGCTCTTCCAAATGGTACAGAGAGGTGAAGCTTTCAGGCAAGTGAGCGAAATAGTAGCACTCGCGAATGGTCAGCTTGCGAAGGCACGGCAACAGATCTCCTATGCGGTCGGGAAGGGTCTCCAGCTCACTGCACTGGGTGATCAGCAGCTCCTCTAGCCAGGTGAACGGCGATGCCGGTGGGAAGATGGTGTTGATATCAGGACAACACAGCATGAAATTGAGCGATTTCAGGCAGGCTGGTTGAGTCACGCCTGGAGCACCCACAGGCTGATGGTTTTCGTGAGGCGCGAAGGTGAACAGATGGGTGAGTCGTGGGAGGTGCAGGAGGCTGGACAAGTGGTGATGGTTCCATGGGAAGGTGATGTACAGGGTGGTAAGGGCAGTGAGGCTTGCGAAACCGGGATTTCTAACGGTTGAAGCGTTGGTGAGAAGAAATGTGTGCACATGCTTCAAGCGGAAAAGGGAATCTGGTAGCTCTATTTCAGGGCGAAGGCAGAAAAGGGTAACCTTCTCCAAGTTGGAGAGTTTTTGAAAGAACCGATCCAAGCCGACTGTAGTGATTCGATGCTCCTCCTTCCAACGATAATGCTTAACCATGTAGCCACAGTCGTCAGGCATTCTCCAGCTGCTTCCCACGTGGAGAGCCGTCAGTTGCGGGCAAGAAGAGGCGAGTTGAGCTAGGAAGGCATCGTCGAGCGACTTGACGCTGCTGTCACTCAGATGCAGATGCGTGAGACTGGGGAAACATGCGACGGCTATTGAGAGGTTTTCCTGGGACACCAAGAGGTCTGCTTTCACGGAGAGCGTGGTGACATGGAGCTTTGTGAGGCGACGCCAACGACGGCAGACGGACGCGAGGAGGAGATTTTGAGAGGCGTGTGCGAGGGGAGGAGGGGATGCTATGGGTGTGTTGACTATCGCATCGTCTTGCTCCGTGCAGTTACTCGTGGATGAGCATTCATAGCTGGAGGCCCATAGACTGTCAATGCGGGACTTGCATGAAGCGAGCTGCTGAAAGGACCGCCTCAGGATGGCAAGGAGGAGGTCGTCTGGCAGGCTACTCATGCTCGTGCTTGCCTCCATCTTGGGATCCTATATAAGAGACGGCGAAACCAGCGGATGGTGTGCTAAGGAACGGCTCGCGGCGTTACAAAGAATCAGCAGTGACAGTGGGGAAATAACTCTTGCAGGATACTAACGAGGTGCGCTGCAGTGCAAGAGTGCATTAGAAGTAGCACATTCCGTGTGCGATCTGCGCATCAGTGGAGAAATGAGAGCCGATGAGAGGAAAGGCAAGACATGGCATGCTAGGATGGCTGTCTCTGGTTCCCTGACAGACCATGGATTTTGCATGCAGGCATCACTCACTCCCCGGTGCAATTCCACGGTAGTCGTGACTGTGATGATTGAAGCTGAGGCTACGGGAGGGGCTCGATGAGACACAGAAACAGCAAGCTTTCGTTCCTAGACTTGCACTCGATCAAATGTTACAACACCTCACAACAAAACATTTTCCTCCGAGCTACGGCGTGATACAAGGGGATTTCGAAGGGGTCAACATTCAGACATTCGGAGATATTACATTTTGCTTCAAGCAATGCAATATGTAGTGCGTCGCGACTTCCCTACGTCATTTTCGCTGGCTTTGCCGAAATTCAAGTTTGAGAGAGTGACGCTGGTGGGTGTGGATTTGGGCTGGGGGGGTTATTGTCACTTTTGTACCAAACGAAATTCTTGATTGTAACATTTCCAGCTTCTTCTGTCGCTGTGCATTGAAATGATCAAGATTGTTACAGTCTTGGCAGAACGACCACGCCTTCGTCCCAACTGAAATTCATAACACGTTACGCCCTCATGGACCACCCCATCCAAAGAGAGGCCAAGGAAAGGGCGAGATCGTGGCCCGGGCAGCGAGTATCGAGACGAGAAGAGGCAAGAACGGAGAAGAAGAAACGTATTACGGGAGCTGAATAATACAAGACGGGGGGGCACGCTACCTCAAGTATAGCAAAGAGAGGAGAGGTCGTGACGTTACTATCCGCACACTTTGTGAGTCATGGCGAGTGTATGCTACGTACATTCAGTCTAAAGGTATTCTCTGTTCTCGACGAAAGTCATGCATTAGGGTACGGACAAAACGGCTTTTGAAGTGACGGGACGGGAAGGGACGGGGCGGGAAGGGACGAGGAGGGAAGGGAGGTGGGAAGGGACGGGGCGGGAAGGGACGAGGCGGGACGCGACGAGGCGGGAAGGGACGAGGCGGGAAGGGACGAGGCGGGAAGGGACGAGGCAGGAAGGGACGAGGCGGGAAGGGACGAGGCGGGAAGGGACGAGGCGGGAAGGGACGAGGTGGGAAAGGACGGGGCGGGAGGGGAATTCCCCTCGTTAAGGAGTTGGCCGGGACAGAAGAGGAGTTCAAGACGAGACGGGAACGATCTGGACAGAACGGGATGGGCGCTGAAACGGATTGGACAGGAGGGACGAGACGAGATGAGTCGGGACGGGAGGGGATGAGAGGGAACGGGAAGGGGCAGGACGGGTCATGTCGGGCCTGTTTTGACGACACGGGGCGCGCGTGGAGTGGCCAGGACGGGAAGGAGCGGGAAAGGGGGGGGAAAGGGGGGGGGAAGGGGGGGGGAAGGGGGGGGAAGGGGGGGGAAGGGGGGGAAGGGGGGGGGGAGTGGGGGGAAGGGGGGGGAAGGGTGGGAAGGGGGGGGGGAGGGGAGTTCAGGACAAGGGGAGGGGGAGGGAGGGAATGGGAGGACAGGGTGGGGGAGGGCAAGGTAGGTAGGGCAGGGGAGGGGAAAACAGGAGACGGCAAGGCAGGGGGGCAGGGCAGGGGAAGAGTTGGGCAGGGGAAGAGTTGGGCAGGGGAAGAGTTGGGCAGGGGAAGAGTTGGGCAGGGGAGGCCAGGGGAGGGCAAGGGAGGGGAGGGGAGTTAAGGGGAGGGGAGGGGAGGGGAGGGGAGGGGAGGGAAGGAGTGAGTTGTTAGAGAGAAGAGTGAAGGCACTGCTGCCACAATCTGTGAGTGAAGGCACTGCTGCCACAATCTGTGAGTGAAGGCACTGCTGCCACAATCTGTGAGTGAAGGCACTGCTGCCACAATCTGTGAGTGAAGGCACTGCTGCCACAATCTGTGAGTGAAGGCACTGCTGCCACAATCTGTGAGTGGCTGCATCTTTCAGACAGCCCTTCAACCCAGCCTTCCCTTCCCTCTCCTTGTTTATGTGTGGCAGGAACAGCAGTGGCATAGTAGGAGAGCACATATTATTCCGCTACTCCATTGACCCGCAGGGGTGTGTTTTGCAGCCGCCAACCCAAGTGTGTGGTGAGGGTAGCTGCGATGGACATGGTGCTGTCGTCACGTGCCAAGCTCAAGCCAGCAGCCAAGGGCCCCGCCACAGACGGCATCATCACCATGGTAGGCTGCGCTGCAGACGGCGTTATCGCAGTGGTACGTGTGTGCTAGCATTCGGCTGCTGTAGCGCTCTGCATCCCAAGCTAGCGCACACTCGTACCACTGCGCTAACGCTCGCTCTCACCGCTCGGCGGTGAGGAGCGCTCTGCATCCTCATCGCGCTCGCCCTCACCGCTTGGCGGGAGTGGCGGGCACGGCGGCCCGACAGCAGTCGACGTTTCGATGCGCCCAGAAAAGCAGGAAGAATGCATGAAAGCAGGAAGGCAGGAAAGCAACGAAGCAAGAAAGGAATGGCGGAGTAGAGACTCGTGGTTGCCGGGCTGTCCATTACATGTGCATGTGCATGGATGTGTGTGCATGGATGTGTGTGCATGGATGTGTGTGCATGGATGTGTGTGGGGGCATGTGCTTATGTGTGCGCATATGCATGTATTGGCACATGCACACAGACCCCCACGTCCTTCTCCTGGGTGCCCGCCAACCCATCAGCAGCGGCAAGACTCGACGTGCCTCTTGCTACCATCAAGTGTGAGCCTCGTCATGTGCCTCCTGGATGCCACCATCCAGTGCGCGCATGCATACAGAGTGGTGTGAGAGGAGCCGCTCGCCTTGTCTTGCCTCCATTGCCCACCACACCCGTCGCCCTGCACTCCCTCTTCTGCTGCCATTGCTCTTTCAGGCCCTCTCCTGCCCTCCTCGCACTGCCGCGCTCATGCTGTCGACTCTCCCGTTGCTCCCTGTCCATGCTCAAATGTGTGTGGCGTGTGTGTGTGGCGTGTGTGTGTGGCATGGCACGGCATGGCATGGCATGGGATGGGTGTGCAGCACACAGGTGGAGCAAGGAAACGCCGTCAGCCACCACTGCGCTACTCAAGTTCAGCCCCCATGCCGATCCTGCTGTGCGTGCCATGTGCCTCTCCCCCTCACCCCCTCACTTTTTCTCTCACCTCTCAACCTCTTCAACCCCTCAACCCCTCACGCTCTCTCACCCACTCACGCCCTCACACCCCTTCAATCACCCCTCACGCCCCTTCAATCACCCCTCACACCCCTTCAATCACCCCTCACACCCCTTCAATCACCCCTCACACCCCTTCAATCACCCCTCACTCCTGCATTCCCTCACACCCTCACGCCTCCATTCCGTCAGCCCCACACAACCCCTATCTCGCCACCCCCTCACCTCCTCACCCCCTCATCTTCCCACCCCCTTACCCGCTCATTCTCTCATCCCCTCACTCCCTCATGCTCTCATCCCTTCCTCTTAAGGCATCCGCTTATGCGCCCGCATTCAGTACTAGTAACACTCATGTGAACCATGTTGTTAGGGAGCCGGCACCGCATGCCATGCGTTGCCATGACATGCCATCCCATGCCATGCCTATGCGAGTACTTATTCTCTGCACTCTGCATGGGCGTTGCTGTGTACCCTTGCACTGGCCTACAAATGTGTGTGTGTCATATGTTGTGCATGTGCCATGCAGGCGGAGGGCGGATACATGTTTGTCTTCTCCTCATTCGCTGATCGTGACAAGGCCAGAGATGTCTACAGTACGTGACCACTGCCCTGCCATGCTTTTCCTGCCCACCTGCACCACTCCAGCAGTTTCCGTCGCCACCTCTCTCCCCACACAGCTTCTCCTCCCACCTCTTGTCCTTATTTGCTCTCCTCATCAGCCCTCATTCGAAGCCACCTCATGGTAGCCACTCGTTAACATAGCTTTAAGCCGAGCCACTCGTTAACATAGCTTTAAGCCGAGCCACTCGTTAACATAGCTTTAAGCCGAGCCACTCGTTAACATAGCTTTAAGCCGAGCCACTCGTTAACATAGCTTTAAGCCGAGCCACTCGTTAACATAGCTTTAAGCCGAGCCAGTTCAACCCAGGAGGAGCTGCCAGGCTGACAAGCCGAGCCAGAGATTCGGTTTGACAACTCAAGTGGGCGCCTGACTCTCATTGTGGCTCACTGGCTCGCCAGTCAGAGTGATCCGTTACAATTGCGTTGAACCTTCGAACCGTTCGGGCCAGTTGAAGTTTAACAGAGATCGGTTTGACTAGAGCTGGATTGAGATTATAAATGTAGGTTCGGTTTGAGGTGAGCAGTTCTCCTCCAAGCGATCGAAGGCGCATTGCTTGCATTACAATATGCGAATTCAAGGCTGCAGAGGCAGGCATTGCGTGGATACAAACTATAGAGAGGGGGGCGGTCGTGTTTGTGCGGTCTGCGCGGTTGCAGCAGGGTTACAATTCGCAACATCGCAAAATGTCACTCACCCAGGATGTCACCCGGGAGTTGAGGAGGAGGGTGTAAGTGAAAAGCACTGGGTTGGGCCAAGTTTTTTTCCGGTGTACTGCAGCTTGCCTTCGTTGTGTGCATGAATGCCATTCGCTCTCCTCCCGTGAGTGTATTCCATGCCATGCCTTCATCACCCTCCCCACCTCATCAGCCCATCACCTGTAGTGACTTATTTATCATGACTCACCACCCCTGGTGCATGATGGCAGGTGCCTACCAGGCCAAGTACCAGAGCACGTCAGCATCCGCCTCCGCCCCCACCCCATCCACTCCTCCGCCCACCGCTCTCTCCGGCTCCGCCTCACCACTCCTCCCCCCTGCTGATCCCGCTGCTGCTGCCGCTGCTTCTGCAGCTGCTGCCGCTGCAGCAGCAGCAGCAGCAGCAGCAGCAGCAGCAGCAGTTAGTGGGGTGAGCGAGGGGGCTGTGCGTGGCATGCTGCCTGGTGTGCCGCCCGGGCTGCCTGGTGTGGTGCCTGGTGCGCTGGCAATGGAGCTGCTGGACGCGGCAGAGCTGCAGCGGCGGCAGAAGCTGCTGCAGTCCGACGCGTGCGTGTGTGGTTGGGGTGGAGCATGCAGGGGTGGATGGGGGCAGTGGATGGGAGGAGAGAGGGGAGACCTGCTTGGTTGGTCTGCTGTGTGCTTGTTTGTGCGTCTGTGTGTGTGTGCACTGCACAGTGCACGCCACATGAAGGCAGGCATACACATGTGGGTGCCCTCCCGCCATGCTGTTTCCAATCTCCATGCCATTTCCTCTCCATGCTGTTTCCCCTCCATACTTTCTGCTGCACGGGGCGCACAGCAAGCTCAGACGCCTGCATCAGGAGCTGGTCATGACGGGCGCTCTCACCGAGTCCGAGTTCTGGGCCGCCAGGAAGGTGGGTGGGCCGCCAGGAAGGTGGGGTGCATGGCTTGTGGGCAAGTCATAAAAGGGTGGGAGATTGATTGTGTTTGGGGAGTCACTGTCACCATTCCACGGTGACTGATTTGGTGGCAAGGAAGGACTGGCTGGGCTGAGTTGAGGTGGAGAGCACAGAGCCCCATGTCTATGTGCAGCACAGAGGGAGTGAGTGCGAATCATCCCGCTGCCTCCTTTCCGACCCTTCCTCATGCGCCTGCCCACCCCTCGCCTCTCACTCCACCCCTCGCCTCTCACTCCACCCCTCGCCTCTCACTCCACCCCTCGCCTCTCACTCCACCCCTCGCCTCTCACTCCACCCCTCGCCTCTCACTCGTGCCCTCTCCTCTCACTCTTGCCCTCGCCTCATCCCTCTGTCCTCCTTACGTGTGCCATCCAATCCCCACCACTGCATCCCGCCAACCCATCCCGTCAACTCCCCACGGCATGGCATGGCATGGCATGGCAGGGGGTGGAGGAGGAGCGGAGGAAGCGCAAGCAGCGGGTGGGCGTGGCGAGTGCCATGCTGGCAGACGTCAGAGGCGTCACTGATGGCCGGGTGGGTGGCGGACGGCAGGGTGGGTGGTAGATGGCAGAGTGATGGTAGGTAGGGTTGCACTTGAGCAGGAACGGAGGGGGGTTTCAGCATGGCAGCCTTTTCTGTGGCGTCCTGTGTGATAGATGTGGGTGGGTGTGGCGTCCTGTTCTCAATCTGAGCAAGTCCGGCGAGCTGAGAGCATGAGGTCACTAGCGCTTGTTGAAGTGCGGACTAGCCATCCTTCAGCAATGCGTCACCTTCATGGACCACCATTCACCTGTTCCTCACGTACTCTTTTGTGTATGCTTGCTGTGTTGTGTGTGTGTATCCACCACAGAGCAACACCATCACGTTCAACCTCACACCGCAGATCATCCAGCAGGTCTGCACTCCTCGCAACGCCCTCATTGCAGTGCACACGCCCCCCAATGTTTTGCCTCTCGTCTTCTCTCCCAGCTCACTTGCGGGCTACTTGCTGCCCTTATTCTCATGCGTCGGCCCCACTGTGCATGCTGCCACGTTAAAGTGTCCACCCACATCTAGCGTGTTGAACCACTCATGTCGCCTGTCACTGCTTGTGCACCGTCCATGTGCTTGCCCCACTGGCGTCTTCCCTCCCCCCCACCCCCACTCGGTGAGGCAGATCTTCCTGGAGAAGCCAGCGGTGCACCGCGCCTTCATGGAGCTCGTGCCAGGGCGGGTGGGTGGTGGACAGGGAGGGCGAGCAGAGAGGGAGTGGGGGAGGGAGGTTGGCTGGGGGGGAGGAAGCGGGGTGTTAGTTTCTGTGTTTGATGGACACATAGCCGTGAGCAGCTTGACTCATGAGCGCCTTCTCTGTGACTCACACCTGCTTCTCATCTCGCGCTTACCACTCTTGAGAATTCTCAAAAGTCATCTCACGCTTACCACTCTCTCACTTCCATGCAAACCATCAAGTCTCGCATTCATCCCCTCCCTCTCTTCTCACTCAACTCTTGCTGCCCCCTCCCCATTCCTCCCCCCCACCCACCTCCCTCCCTGGGATGTCCAGATAGGCGATCTGGGGCGTGCATTACTGCGTGCAGTTCCCACTGCATGCAAGCTATCACATCACATCTCCCCCTCTCCCCCTCCTCTACTCACCCCCGACACCCCCCACCTTCCCCACCCTTCAGATGACTGAGAAGGCCCACCCCTTCCCACTTCCCCTTCCTCACCCACACCACCCCCTCCTCCACCCCTTCCTCACCTCCCCTTCCTCACCCACACCAACCCCTCCTCCACCCCTTCCTCACCCTTCCCCAGATGAGCGAGAAGGCCTTCTGGGGCAAGTACTACCGCGCGGAGTACCTCGTCCATGCACGCCATCACATTACCCTTCCACTCTCCCCCTCCTCGCCTCCCCCACCCCTTCATCACCACACCACCCCCACCACCAGATGACGGAGAAGGCGTTCTGGGGAAAGTACTACAGGGCGGAGTACCTCTTTCGCACGCGCAACGTGGCGGCGGCGGAGGCGGAGGCGGCGGATGATGACGAGCTGGCGCTCTTCGTGCGCGACGACCCTCAGCTGCATGCCCAGGCGCGCCAAAAGGTGACTTGTCAAAGTGGCACTCAGCACTCCCCCACCTTCCCCAGAGCCCCCAGCTGATGATGACACACAGCATTCTTTCTCCAAGACAGAGGCGGCAGACGATGACGAGCTGGCGCTCTTTGTGCGCGACGACCCTCACCTGCACGCCCAGGCGTGCCAAAAGGTGAAGTGCCTCCCAGCCCGCCTGCCCACCTGCTGGCTTTCGTCGTTCCTCCTTGCTCTTTGTTCCGGTCGCCCCCATCTTCCCCACAGCTGTAATCCTGCCCTTTCTCCCTCCATCTCCCTCTCTCGCCTGCCCTATCCCTCAACCATCTTCTCAGCCTCGCCTCTTCCCTTTGCCTCTCCGCCTTGCCACCTACGTATTCCCCTCGCACCTCCCTCTCGCGCGTGGACGGTGGGCTCCTCTCTCCTCCCCTCGCCCCCCATCACGTGCAGCGCGTGGACCCCACACTGAATGTGCTGGCAAACGTGTTTTGAGTCGACTCTAAAGCCCCTCGTTCGTCTGCCTCCCCGTGCATGGGCTCCTCTCCCCCCTCCCCCATCAGGTGCAGCGTGTGGACCCAACACTCAGCTTGCTGGCGGACGTCAGCGCCTCTTCCCCCTCTCACCTGCCCCCCCGTGCATGGGCTCCCCTCTCCCCCTGCCCTTTCCCCCCATCAGGTGCAGCGTGTGGACCCAACACTCGACGTGCTGGCGGACGTCAGCGACGACTACTCCTCCCTGCTGGTGCGCGCCTGCCTGCTGCCCACCGTGCCCCCATGCGTGCCTGCCTGCTGCCTCCTTGCCTTTTGCTGCCAGTGTGGGGCAGAAAGGTTGTGCGGGAGTGAGTGGGTCTGACAGGGGCTGAGTGGGGCTGAGTGGGGCAAGGGCAGTGCTTGCACGCCTGCTTGCAGTACTCTTGCTTTCTTACGTACTTCTTGTTAGAAATAGTCAGTCAACACTTTGTACAATATTCTATATCGGTTAGGTTACTTTGTAGGTTGGGTGTAGATTTGTAATCCCAACCCTATCTGGTTGGGATTCCCTCGTAATCCTGCAAATCTGCCAACTCACCAATTGGAGATTTGCTAGGATTCCCATCCCATCCTTTCCCTAGCTTTGCTCAACCCAACCCTGTTTGTACTTAAGGCCTAGTGCCTTCCCTATCAAGCAATCAGTTCAGTTCCAATTCTATCATGGTATCGAGCTAGTAAATTCCGCTCACGCGGAATTCGATCCTTGGCGTCCCGATGGTTCTCTCCTTTTAGGCTATGCCTATTTCGGTTCCCGGCTCCTACGCTTAGCGTTTTTCAGAAACTTCACATCGTCGCTCCGGTCAAGCGCGCATTCGGCTTCCTTCATCGCGCATCTCGTTTTTCAACAGCGACATTCTCAGCTTTCGACTTCCTTCATCGTAAGCTTCTGGTTTTTATATCTCCGTGGCAATTTTCGCATCTTCTTAACTTCGAACAGGTTTTCAGCGGCGCAGCGGAACAGGTCCAGCGGCGCAGCGGAACAGGTTTTCAGCGGCGCAGCGGAACAGGTCCAGCGGCGCAACGGAACAGGTTTTCAGCGGCGCAGCGGAACAGGTCCAGCGGCGCAGCGGAACAGGTTTTCAGCGGCGCAGCGGAACAGGTTCAGCGGCGCAGCGGAACAGGTTCAGCGGCGCAGCGGAACAGGTTCAGCGGCGCAGCAGAACAGGTTCAGCGGCGCAGCAGAACAGGTTCAGCGGCGCAGCAGAACAAGTCAGCGGCGCAGCAGAACAGGTCAGCGGCGCAGCAGAGAAGCGGAACAGGGGCAGCAGCGAAGCAGAACAGGGGGCATTGGCGAAGCAGTATATCAGGGTATAGTACGGGCATTCTATTGCCAAAATCGCGTTTCGAACTTCCTCAATTTCCAAAATCACCCGAACTCCGCTCCGCTACGTATCGGAGACTTTAGCGCTACGCTCCGGGCGAAATGACAACTTCAACTTCCACTCTCGTCGGAAACCTCATCATCCTTAACCTCGCTCCCAACGGCACGAGCACCAATTTCGGGGAGTGGTGCTATGGAGTGGAGAAGCACCTCCTTAGCTTGGAGCTCAAGGGGATTTGCCTCAAGGACATCCTCCTCAATCGCGGCAAGGGGAAGATGCCTCTCCCTCCCGATCCTCTCGGCGAAGGCGCCACTGCCACAGCCAAGCTTGCTTTCTACGCTAAAACCACCAAGTATGAGACAGACTTCAGTCTCTGGGAGCAGGCGGATGCGGCAGTGATTAGGGTTTTCATCACCACCACCCCAGTCGAGTTAGTCAAGTCCTACCGCACCTTCCGCTCTGCGCATGACATTTGGAAGTACCTCCAGGATCGCTTTCATGACAAAACTGCCGTGGGAGTTGCAATCCTCATTCCTCGCATGTTCCAAATCCGCCTTGAGGAATGCCCGGGCATGGCAGACTACATCTCTGAAATCCGCAACATCCATGAGGAGCTCAAGGACATTGGGATCACCTTCCCCGAACAGGCACCTGCTGCTGGGCTTCTCGTCGGACTCACCCCGGCCTACAACGTCACCAGTTCCATGCTCAAGCAGCTCCCCACCAAGGAACTCACCTTCGAGAAAGTCGCTTCGGCCCTTCTCTCTGCCGAAAAAGACCTTGCAGCCCAGGCATCCGTCAATGCTGTGCGCTACTCCCCTGGCATCCCATTTCGTTCCCAGCAGGGCCAGAGGCGCAACTCCTTTCCCCCATGCCAGTACCTCATTAGGAAGGGTCCACGTGCGGGGCAGAAATGCAACGGCACCAACCACCCTGAGGCAACTTGCTTCAAGAAGCGAGATGACGAGTGGTATGACGTCCACGGTGTCTCCAAGGACAAGCGCCCTCCCAACTGGGCACCACCCCGTCGCGTGAACCAGGTCGAGGCAGTGGAGGAACCTGCTCAGGCATTTGCTAGTGCCCCATCTGATGTTTGCCTTAACCTGTTGTTCTCTGGTGCTGGTCTTCTTAATGAGAAGGGGTCGCAGTACATCGGTGTTTCAACCACACAGGGAATTGAGTTCATACTAGACAGTGGTGCCACCCACACAGTGCTTAAAGACCAAACTGCCTTCGTTCCCTACCAGGCTCCCACCTCACTCCTTGGAGCCGATTCTAGCTTCTCCATCCAATGCCATGGGTCATCCACAGTTTCCTGTCCAGCTTTCCCATCCGGCACAGTCACTGGCATCTGTGCCCCTACCCTCCGCTACAACCTTCTTGCACAGCGGGAAATCCAACACGCAGGCGTGATCACCATCTTTCCCAATGATGTTGACTACTGTGACATGTTTGACGCCAAAACCGGACTCCATCTTGCCCACTTCACCCTCAACTCCAACAACCTGTACACACTAGTTGTACCTCCCGTTCAAACATGCTCCCTCACCAACCTTCCACTTCCATCCTCAGACTCCCCCTCATGTCACTGCCGCCTCCTCAATGACAAGACTATGCTATTTCATAACCGCCTCAGCCACATCAACTTCCGCGCACTTTCAGACCTTGCCACCAAACAACTCCTTCATGGGCTGCCCGCCTCACTTCCACAACCCCCCTCTCTTTCCGGACCACCTTGCCTTGACTGTGCACAGAGCAAGCTTCGGGAACAGCCCCATCCTCCCACTGAGTCCACCTCTACCGCACCTCTTGATCGCGTACACATGGACCTTTGGGGTCCAGCTCCTTTTCGTTCCCGTGGCGGACACTTCTACTTCCTTGTCTTCGTTGATGACTATTCCCGCTATGTGTCCGTTCACCTTCTCACCGCCAAGTCTGAAGCCCCAGCCATTATCATGGAATGGGCAAGGCAGGCTCGTTCACACTTCAAAACCAAAATCAAGATTCTTCACTCTGACGGTGGCGGTGAATTCCGCAACAACACTCTCAAAGCTTTCTGCTCTACTGAGGGTATTCGTCAAACCTTCACCCTCCCAGACAGCCCTCAACAGAACGGTGTTGCTGAGAGCCGAAACCGCATCCTGGTGCAGATTGCTCGCTGCCTCCTCACTCATGCTTCCGCCCCTCCCTCTCTATGGGGATACGCCATGCTCCATGCTGCCGCCCTCCACAATCTCCATCCTCATCCTCACCACACCCACACCACCCCCGCAGAGCTGTGGACGGGTCAAAAGCCGTCCGTCCGCCCTCTTCGTGTATGGGGGTGCACTTCCTATGTTCTCCTCAACTCCCAAGCCCGTCGTGCAGCTGGCGGCAAGCTTGCTCCGAAAACAATCACGTGCGTGTACCTCGGGCACAACTCAGACTCGCCAGACTACCTCTTCCTCCATCCTACCACCAACAAACTTTATCGCAGCCGAGATGTTTTCTTCGATGAATCCCACCCGTTCTACCCCTCCTCCACAGTTTCTCCTTCTCCTCCGCCTCCTTCTCTTACTTGGGCTGACTTTGACAGCCTTCCTCCTGCCACCACTCCATCTCCTCCTCTTCCTGCTCCCTCCACAGTTTCCGACCCCCCTTCACCCGCTTCCCCTTCCAGCACCACGCAGTCTCCCCCGCTCCTTCCCGCCCCCGAGCCCATTCCTCTCAAAACCTACCAACGCCGTCCTCCTGCTGCTGCTCCTCCTCCTGATCCAGCTCCTCCTCCTGATCCAGCTCCTGCTCCTGATCCAGCTGCTGTTCCTGATGCTGCCACTACACCTACTGCTTCTCCCCCTCCAGCTCCGCCTCCCTCCCCCATCGCTGGTCGCACCCGCTCGCGCAAAGCTCCCAAGCCTCTTTCCCTTTCCATTCGTGTCTCTCTCAATCCTCCTCCTGTCGGGGGTGATTATTCGCTCATGCCCTCCCTTCTTGAGGACAGACATGAGGAGTTGATTGAGATTGACTCAGCCATACACGCACTCTGCTCCCTCTTTCCAGATATCGCAGAATCTCCCACCCTCGACTTCTCGGACAACCCCTCCATCCCCACACCTCTCACCTATGCTGAAGCAGTTTCTGGTCCTCACGCCGCTCAGTGACTAGGGGCCATTGTCGCAGAGTGTGAGGCCTTCATTCACACAGGAACTTTCACAGATGTCTCTCCTCCCTCCGGCGTCAACATTGTGAAGGGAAAATGGGTTTTCCGGGTGAAACAACTTCCAGGCGAATTTCCCGTCTTCAAAGCCCGGTACTGTGCCAAGGGATTTACCCAAAAGCATGGACTGGACTTCTTTGAGACATTCTCTCCCACCGCCAAACCTCCCACACTGCGCGCCCTTCTCGATGTTGCCGCTCGAGATGACATGGAGGTTGACTGCATGGATGTGTCCTCTGCGTTTCTGCAAGGGATCCTTCGAGAGGAAATCTACATGGAGCGGCCCGAAGGATTTCCAGCTCCTTTTCCACCAGGCACTGTATGGAAGCTGAATCGACCAGTGTATGGCCTCAAGCAAGCACCCCGGGAATGGCACAACAAGCTCAAGAGCACCTTAGGGTCCCTCGACTTTCACCCATCCACCTCTGACCCCAGCCTCTTCATCCGAGCAACACCATCCCGCTTCTTCATCTTGGTTTATGTCGATGACATGATCCTTGTCACCAAGGATCAGACTGAGCTAGCAGCAGTCAAAACCGCACTTGGTGAGAAGCTGGCTATGAAGGATCTTGGGAAACTGACGAACTATCTGGGCATGGAAATCACACGTGATCGCACGGCCCGCACCATCACCCTCTCGCAGAAGTTCTACATCAACAACGTTCTGACCAGGTTTAAGTTGCAGGTAGCAGCTTCAATGCCCACCCCACTCTCTCTGCAGCACCAACTCACTGCACCCTCTGTTCCCTCACCTGAGCCCTGTGATGAGGCTTACCCCGAGCTCGTCGGTTCCCTCATGTACGCGATGATGTGCACTCGACCAGATTTGGCCTATCCAGTCAGTGTCCTGTCTCGCTACGTTGCACCTGGTCGCTTCACGAGCCACCACTGGTCTGCCGCCAAGCGGGTCCTCCGCTATCTCAAAGGCACACTGGACTATGTGCTCACTCTTGGCGGCTCTTCCCCTGTTCGCCTTGAGGGGTACAGTGACTCGTCCTATGCTGATGACCAGAGTGATCGGCGCTCTTCCCAAGGATATTGCTTTACCCTTGGCAGTTGGGTTGTCAGTTGGCGCTCCACTCGGTCGTCTTCCGTCTCACTGTCAACCTGTGAGGCAGAGCTGTATGCCGGGACCATGGCTGCCCAAGAGGCCCGTTGGCTCTCCTTCTTGCTGGCAGAACTTGGGTATCCTCAACCAGCCCCAACGCTTTGGTGTGACAACGAGAGCACCATTCATCTCACAAAGGACCCCGTCTTCCACGGCCGCACCAAGCACATTGAGGTCCGTCACTACTTTCTTCGTGAGCTGGTGCAGCGCGAGCAGCTGAAGGCTGAACACATTGCCTCCGACTGCAACCTTGCTGACTTGTTTACCAAGTCTCTTGTTCGCCAAGACCACTACCGCCTCCTCTCGTCCATGGGTGTTGGGCCGCCATGTGGCTGAAGTGTTGTCAGCCTAGGGGGTGTGTTAGAAATAGTCAGTCAACACTTTGTACAATATTCTATATCGGTTAGGTTACTTTGTAGGTTGGGTGTAGATTTGTAATCCCAACCCTATCTGGTTGGGATTCCCTCGTAATCCTGCAAATCTGCCAACTCACCAATTGGAGATTTGCTAGGATTCCCATCCCATCCTTTCCCTAGCTTTGCTCAACCCAACCCTGTTTGTACTTAAGGCCTAGTGCCTTCCTTATCAAGCAATCAGTTCAGTTCCAATTCTATCACTTCTAATTTCTCTCTGCCCCACCCCTGTGCCTATCCCTGAGCCCCACACCTGCGGTGCCCCACCCTGTGCCCCGCACCTCTGCCCCTTGCTGAACCCTACTTGAAAGGCAGGGTCACGGCATTCTTAGGGATGGGCGAAAGGAGGCACCTGCTGTGGAGGGCGAGGGCGAGGGGGAGGGAGAGAGGAAGGGCGCAGCAGGGCAGGAGGGGGCAGGTGCAGGCGGGCAGTTGAGCAGGAGTGGCAGCGCTGGTGGTGCTGCGGGTGGTGGTGGTGCGGGTGGTGGTGATGGTAGCAGCGGTGCGGGGGCGGAAGGGCAGGTGCGCATGAGGCGCACTATATTCCGTGACATCAACCAGCATGCTGCTGTCGTGCTGCAGGGCCGCCTGCTCCGTGAGTGTCCCCCTTCCCCTTCCCCCCTGCTGCCCCCCTTTCCCCCCCCTCCCCCCGTGTCTCTCGTGTCGCCCATAGGAGCCACAACCCCCCATGGCACGCATCAACCAGCATGCTGCTGTCATGCTGCAGGGCCGCCTGCTCCGTAAGTCCCTTGCTTCCGTGCTCTGCAGGATTGTGGCACTCACTGCGGCCACTGGTGCCACTTGCCCCATCTTACTTGGCTCCTGCTTGGGCCACAACACACCTCACTTCCCTGCCGCCCTGCACTGCTGCTCTGCTCCTCCCCTTCTCGCTCACCTGCCTCTCACCCCCGCCCTCCTCTCTTCCCTTGTGTCTCCCGTGTCCCTCATGGCCCCTCATGCCTGTCATCTCTCATTCCATGCCCACCCGGCCCCATGTGCGTGTCATGCTCCATGCGCACCTCCCCTGGGTGGTGCGCATGCAGAGGAGGACGTGGCGGACACCAGGGAGCTCGCCACTGCTGTCGCCGAGGCCACGGCCCTCCACGCTGGTGGGTGGGGGAACAGGGGGGAGGGGGGGATGGGGGATGTGGTGGCATGCAATGGGATGTGGTGGCATGCAATGGCATGTGGCATGCAATGGGATGTGGTGGCATGCAATGGGATGTGGTGGCATGCAATGGGATGTGGTGGCATGCAATGGGATGTGGTGGCATGCAATGGCATGTGGCATGCAATGGGATGTGGTGGCATGCAATGGCATGTGGTGGCATGCAATGGCATGTGGTGGCATGCAATGGCATGTGGTGGCATGCAATGGCATGTGGCATGCAATGGCATGTGGCATGCAACGCAGCAAGCAAGGGTTTTTTAATGACTTAACCTCAAGCTCTTTTTCTGGATTGCCCCCAACGCCCACAACACCCTTTCACCTGCTCCCTCGCACCCCCTCCCTTACACACCTCCCCTGCTTCCGCACGCCTCTCGTCCTCCCTCCCTCACTCACTCACGGCCCCCCACCCACCACCGTCCACCCCCGTCACAGCAAGCATGGGAGGGGAGCAGGGGGCGGAGGAGGAGTGGCGGAGGGAGAGGGCGCGCGAGATGGCCGTGCTGGCCGACCTCCGAGGGGACGCCCCTCCCACCACCATCCCCCTCACCATCCAGGCACGTGGATCTGGCACGGGGGGTGGTACGTAGGTTGGGGCACGTGGCACACTGGATGTGTGATGTGCCATGTGCCATTGACTCACCTCTCACTCCCGCTCACTCAGATGCTCACTTGCTCCCACCAACCTCGCTCACTCCCACCACTCTCACCACTATCCCCACCCACCTTCACTTCCCCGCTTTTCCTGGTTCTGTTCACCTATTAAACCTTTGCACTCACGTCTGCACCTACACCCCCCTCCGTTCATCCGCTCCTCTCCACCCATCTGCACCACCCTTCCCTACCCGTCCGCGACAGGACCCACGCAAGTACTTTGATGCCGCCACACAGAGGGACACAGTGCACACTCAGCAGAGGGACACAGTGCACACTCAGCAGAAAGCGGGGCAGGCAGCTGTGCCGCATGCAATGGATTTGGATGGCCCTGGACCCGCCACTGAGTCAACGCCAGCTGGCACGCATGCCACGCTGGCAGCCTCGCTGGCAGCGTTTGGGAGTGAGCTGGCAGGGGGGGGGAGCGGAGGCAGCAGCAGGGAGCACAGGAAACGGGGTGGGGGAGGCAAGGGAGGGGCGACTGTGATGGCACCTGCCGCTGCTGCTCAGGTGAGTTGTGTTGAGGGGAGAAGGTTAAGGTGCGGGATGCATGGGAGCAATATGCATGGGTTCAGCATGGATGGGTGCAGCATGGATGGGTGCAGCATGGATGGGTGCAGCATTGTCACCACCCTCACACCATTACCACCCGCTTAGCAAACCTCTTCCCTCACCCTACTACTCCCACCCCACGCCACCCCTCCCCACCCCACACCACACATCCACCTCTGCACCCGGCACCAGGAGGTGGAGGAGTTTGGGCGGCAGGTGGCGGTGGCACGGCGGGGAGTGGGGGAGGCTGCGGAGCAGTCACTGCTGAAGCAGCTGCCTGACGCCCTGCGCACCTCCGTGCTTGCGGTGGGTTGGGTTGCATGCTGCCCCTTCATGGCCCCACCGCCTCTTGCGCTGGCCACTTCCTTGCTGCGTGCAGTGAGGGCACGTTGCTTGCTCATGCCCCCCCCCATGGCACGGCAGGCGGAGCATGGGGGGAGGGCGTGACAAGCAAGGAGGTCACGGGATGCTATGCGCATGTAGCTTCGCATTCTATCCCTTGTAATGCCTCTCTGCAACAACCCCTGTGCCCTGCTTTCTTTTCATATCCCCCTTGCACCATGTGCTGCATGCATGCCCCCATCACCCCATGCCTGCATGCCCCCATCGCACAGCATGGAGAGGCAGTGAAGGAGCTGCTGTCGCACTTCTGGGCCACCTACCCGCTCACCAGCGCTGCTCTGCTTGCCAAGGTATGCGCCGCACCAACCAGTGTGCCTGCCTCATCCCATCGTTCGTGCTGCTTCCTCTCTCTTGCCTCACCTCATGCGCCCCACCTCCCCTCTCCCACCCACCATGGCCGCCAGGCGGAGCGGCACAAGGAGGGCATCAGCAAGCTGTACGACCGCCTGCAGGTCACTCACGCCCTCATTGCTCACTTCCTGCTGCAGTTGCAGTTTCTCCTCCCCCAATCTTCACTCTGCTGCTCTGCTGCTGCTTCTTGCTCCCTTTTCCTCCGCCTTTCCATTCAGTCTTCTCCTTCCCCTAAGACCCATGTGACCCTTTCCTGTTTCCACCCCCACCTTCCCCACGAGTGCAGAAGCTCAAGGACGGAGCGGACGGGGCCAACCGGCATCTCCTTTCACAGCTGCTACAGCCCTTCTTCCAGGTGCACTTGCTGCTACAGCCCTTTTTCCAGGTGCACTTGCTGCTACAGCCCTTTTTCCAGGTGCACTTGCTGCTACAGCCCTTCTTACATTGGAAGGACAGGCGGGTACACTGAGCAAGTGTGCAGCAAAAACGGTGGACACTGGGGTGCATTGGATGAGACGCACCACTCAAGCTGCCTGCCTTCTCTTGACTATCCGTGCCTCGCTCCTGTCACGTCTCCCCTTCATCCCTTTCCCTCTCTTCCCCTCCCACCACCACCACCTCACCCTGCGGGTGGCTCCACCCCACCCCACGGCACTGCACGGCGCGCACCAGAGTCTGGATGCGGCGTTGGCGCACTTTGAGGCGGACACCTGCTGGCGACACGACAGCTGCCTCCGCCCAACCTCCCTCTAACTGTCTCACCCCCCTTTCACACACCCCCTGCTGCACCCCTAGGTTCACTCACACTCCACCCCCTAGCACCACTCCGTCGACTCACACACACCCACCCCCCTCAGCGGCAGCTGCAGCAGTGGGAGACAGAGTAGGAGGAGGAGCAGGGGATGCCACACACCCTCCACCCAGCTTTCACCCCCATACTCGCCACCCCAAACCCCAACACTGGGTAGGGCCGCAACGAAGACGGGGGCAGGGCCGGGCAGGGCAGGGCCGGGACAGGGCCGGGGACGGACGGCAGGGCCGGGCAAAGCAGGGCCGGGCAGGGTCGCGACGAAGACGGGAGGGGCCGACGCGTGGCCCCCTTCTGTCGCCCCTCCCGTCGCCCGTCGCGGCGCCCTGGGGGGGGCCGCGCGGTCACGCGCGGGCCCCCAAGGGCTCCACGGCGGGCGACAGAAGGGGGGGCCGCGCGGGCCCCCAATGGCGCCACGACGGGCGACGAGGGGGCCGCGCACGAGCCCCCCGGGGCGACGAAACCGCCGTGCGCCCCGAGGCGCGCGACGGGCAGGGCACCGTCGCGCGCAACGGGGCGCACGACGGGCAGATCAGGGCGTCGCGCTGCCCCCAGGGCAGCGCGACGAGCAGGGCGCGCGGCGGGAAGAAAAAGGGCCGCGCGCCATGGGCGCGCGGCAGGCAGAAAGATAGTGCGCGCCCGAGGCGCGCGATAGGCAGTGTTGACAGTGGAAGCTTAGGTGGGCCCATCCACAGGATCGACCCGAGGGGGTCGACCTGCTCTGATTTCGTGTTGAAAACAGCAGTAGAAAGTTAGAAATGAGAAAGAGGGGGTTTCACTAGCAAGCAGTTGAGTACATATAGCAAACCCTAAATTAGGCTGTACTCACTATTGAGTACCCCACTGCAGGCTAGACAAAACATAACATTCTGACAATCTCAACTCGGCCCACTCTACTGGCCCTTCGCAATGGACCACGCAACCCTGTTGCATAACCTCCTGTCTTCATCGGCTCTACCCAACAACGCATCACCTCACTTGTTGTGGACAGGAAAATTGGGCACTACAAAACTTCTTCGAGTTTTTGGGTGTATCGTGCAATATCGTCCTCCCGCTCCGCTTGGAAAGTTCGATCAACGCGCTAAGTGGGGTCTTCATCTCGGCCTTGAGAAGCAGTTTTCTGCCTGGCGTATCATGGATTATCGCAGTCGTCTTTTAATTCCTGCCCGCGACTGTATTTTCTACGAAAATCTGATCTTTCCTGTCTTCGAACAGTATCTCGCCACGCAGCGTGACCCTGCTACACTTTTCCACGGTGTTCGTTCATTCGCCAGCGCTGACGCCGAACTCGCTGCCAGCGAAGAACCTGACATTGACGGTGCACGTGAAGCTGCTCCTGATCCACCTATACCAACCACCACTTCCGGATTTCCGGAATTCATTCCTCTCGTCGACGCTCATACTTACCTGGTGGACGATCAACGACGTCCCATGCCAGCTGTAACTGACAGTAGCATCCGCGTCGATCTTGACGAAATTGGGGGGGCAAGTGGTGAACAGAGTGAACCTGTCAATTTCGCAGGACGGACCGAAGACAGTCCTAATTATCAAACTGGGCTTCAGATACTGGGACTCGCTGCAGCAGTACAGCACAATTCTACAGAAGTCGCAGAACCGAAAACTGCCCGACAGGCCCTTTCAGGACCACATCGCAAAAAATGGCGTGAAGCCATGGATCGTGAACTGGCTGCCCTGGAAAAACGGGAGACTTGGGATCTCATACCCATCGAAAAAGCTACAAATAAAAATATTCTTACCGGAAAATGGGTCTTCACGGTGAAGACGAAAGCTGACGGCTCTTATGAAAAACATAAGGCAAGGTGGGTTCTTCGCGGTTTTAACCAAACTCATGGGGTAGACTACACGCTAACTTTCGCCCCGGTCAGCCGACACACAAGTGTTCGTCTCGTCATCTGCGAAGCAGCTGCGAAGAATTTTCCGCTTCGACAAATTGACGTTTCCAACGCATTTCTGTACGCTGACGTCGATGCTGAAATCTACGTCGAATATCCACATACCTATCCGACAAATCCGCCAAGTGTCTGCAAGCTCAAGAAGTCACTGTACGGTATCAAACAAGCACCGCGACTGTGGCAGCAGCATTTGAACAGGAAACTTACAGAAGTTGGGTTCCGACAACTGCCGCATGATCCCGGAATGTATCGACTAGATGACAAGGGGAGCTACGCGCTACTCATGGCATACGTGGATGATATTCTCTACGTAAGTTCTTCGGCTTCCTTGGGTGATCGCATCGAAGCAGATCTGAAGAAATCCCTCGACTTAACCGTCTCCACCGAAGTAACTCAATTTCTTGGGTTAAACATTTCGCGAACCTCCTCCGCCATTCACCTCCCAGCATCGAAGTATGCTGAGTCACTCGCTAAGCGTTTCAAGATTTCTACAGATTACGTCGCTACACCGTATTGATCTACACCCACCGGGCACATCCTAAACAACACCAAACTTTCAGCGGCTGGTCTACAACTGTACCAGCAGCAACTCGGGTGTCTTCTCTTCGCAGCAGTCACGTGCCGTCCCGACCTTGCTTACGTCGCAAGCTATCTCGCACAATTTTTACGCTGCCCAAAAGAAGAACACCACTCTACACTATTTTTTCGCAACACCAACAGTCGGGCTGATTTTCAACACAGGAAAACCGACCGACAAAATGTACCTCAGCGGATATGTTGACGCAGACCACGCTGGTGACACGTCAGATCGTCGGTCACGAACAGGCTACATTTTTCGTCTCGAGCCAATTGGCCCGATCTCGTGGAACTCATCGAAACAAGAACTCGTGTCACTTTTCTCGGCTGAAGCAGAATTCATTGCCGCGTGTGCTGCAACCCGAGAAGGATTATACTTACAGGAACTGTTCGACGAAGCAAAATTCGTCACGCCAAATCAGTTTACGCTGCAGTGCGACAACCAGAGTGCAATTAGCATCGTCAACAAGCCCGGCTTCGTCAATCGCACGAAACATATTTCACTGCGTTACTTCTTCGTCAAAGATGCGATCGAGAAGGGGAGAATGCGCCTTGTCTACTGCCCTACTAGTGACATGGCAGCTGACTCACTTACCAAGAAGCTGACACGACAGAAATTCCACCACTGCAACCAGCTCAGTGGAATTTCTGAGACAACTGGGTAAGTGAAGGGGAGTGTTGAGATAATATCGAGACTTAAGCACTTCAAGGAAATTCGTGTAGTACAGTAAAGTACCGATAGGCTGACGTCAGCAAAGCGCTACGCGCCCTAGGATGACGTCAGCACGTAGCTATAGGCCTCGCGAATAGTCACGTACCGTTTCAGAACACGAATAGCGAGAATAGCACAGTACAATAGGCCATGTTAGAATTTGAAGTGAGTTTGTAGGATCGTACTACTTAGGATGGTAACTTCCTGTCGTAGCGGAAGTCTTATATGAGTTAAGCCAGTTGTGAAGGCTTTGTCTAGACTTAATAAAGTCTATGTAGTGATATGTTTCAGGATCAAATGTCTCTGAAATCAGATACATTATAAAATGACAAACGTACAAAATATATAGCTAGAGTAAAGTTCCTGTTCGCCTACTGTACTGTGCTATTCTTATCTTGAAACGGTACGTAACTATTCGCGAAGTCTATAGCTACGTGCTGACGTCATCCTAGGTCGCGTAGCGCTTTGCTGACGTCAGCCTATCGGTACTTTACTGTACTACACGAATTTCCTTGAAGTGCTTTACGTCTCGATATTATCTCAACACTCCCCTTCACTTCTAGGAGTTCGGTGTGGTTTAAGCGGTTGTCTCAGAAACGCCGCTGGGCTGGTTGCAGTGGTGGAACTTCTGTCGTGTCAGCTTCTTGGTAAGTGAGTCAGCTGCCATGTCATTAGTGGAGCAGTAGACAAGACGCATTCTCCCCTTGTCGATCGCGTCCTTGACGAAGAAGTAACGCAGTGAGATGTGTTTCGTGCGATTGACGAAGCCGGGTTTGTTGGCGATGGTAATCGCACTTTGGTTGTCGCACTGCAACGTAAACTTATTCGGCGTGACGAACTTTGCTTCGTCGAGCAGTTCCTGTAAGTATAGTCCTTCTCGAGTTGCAGCACACGCGGCAATGAATTCTGCTTCAGCCGAGGAAAGTGACACCAGTTCCTGTTTCGATGAGTTCCATGAAATTGGGCCAATTGGCTCGAGACGAAAAATGTAGCCTGTTCGTGACCGGCGATCTGACGTGTCACCAGCGTGGTCTGCGTCAACATATCCGCTGAGGTACATTTTGTCGGTCGATTTTCCTGTGTTGAAAATCAGCCCGACTGTTGGTGTTTCAACAAAATAGTGTAGAGCGCGCTGAAGATCGAGATGATGTTCTTCTTTTGGGCAGCGTAAAAACTGTGCGAGATAACTTGCGACGTACGCAAGGTCGGGACGACGCGTGACTGCTGCGAAGAGAAGGCACCCAAGTTGCTGCTGGTACAGTTGTAAACCAGCTGCCGAAAGTTTGGTGTCGTTGAAAATGTACCCAGTGGGTGTAGACCGAAACGGTGTAGCGACGTAATTTGTAGAAAACTTGAAACGCTTAGCGAGTGACTCAGCATACTTCGATGCTGTGAGGTGGATGGCGGAGGAAGTTCCCGAGATGTTTAATCCAAGAAATTGGGTTACTTCTGTAGAGACGGTTAAGTCAAGGGACTTCTTCAAATCTGCTTCGATGCGATCACCCAGAGAAGCCGAAGAACTTACTGTCAGAACATTATGTTTCTCTAGTCTGCAGTGGGGTACACTGTAGTGAGTACAACCCTGTTAGGGTTTGTTATATGTATCCAATTGCTTGCTAGTGCAATCATCCTTTCTCACTTCAATTTCTCTCGTCAATATTCTCACATGGTATAGAGCAACTTTCGATCCTAAGGGCCCACCACGTCTTCAACTTTTTTTTTCCTTACCTGCCCGAGGCGCGCA